GGTAGGGTGCTGGGACATGGGATAGTTTAGGTTTAGGCCCTAAAATTATTGAACTTGATATTGAGTCCAGAGGGCTGCAGAGTCCCCAAGCGGAAACGAGGTGTTGTTTTTCCAGCTTGCGTTGAGCTTTGCTGGAACACTGCAGCAAGTCAGAGACAAAGGTGTTGGCCAGGGAACAGGTGGTGTGTTAACGTGGCAGGCAACTGGAAGCTCAGGGCCTTTTTTGCGAGCAGAACACAGATATTACACAAAGTGGTCACCCAGTCTACGTTGCGTTTCCCTAATGTACAAGAGACCACATTGTGAGCAGCGAATGCAGTAGACTAGTTTCTGGGAAGTGCAGGTGAGGTGTTGTTTCACCTGGAAGGCATGTTTGGGCCCTTGGATACTGGGGAGAGAGGAGGTAAATGGGCAGGTGTTACACCTTCACCGGTTGGAGGGGAAGGTACCATGGGGCTGTGGGTGGTTGTCAGGTGAAGGAAGAGTGGACCAGGGTGCCCTGGAGGGAACAGTCCCTGTGGAAGGCAGGCAAAGGAGGGGAGGGGAATAGGTGGCTGGTGGTGGCATCTCACTGGAGGTGGGGGGAAATGGCGTCTGATGATCTTCTGGATGTGGATACTGGTGAATGGTTGGTACGGACAAGGGGAAGCCTATCGCTGTTGCTGGAGGGAAGACAGGGGGTGAGGGCGGAAGTGCAGGAGATGGGTTGGACCTGATTGAGGCCCCTGTCTACAACGGTGCTGGGCAATCTTCGGCTGAGGAAGAAGGTGGACATTTCGGAGACTCCCTTGTCAAAAACAAAGCGCAGCCTTTCCCATCTTCCCTTATAAAACAACCTGCTCATTCCGGGTATCAATCTAGTCATCCTCTGAATCGCCTCCAAGGGATTTATATCATCCACTAAGTGAGACCAAAACTGCACACAGTATTTGAGGTGCGGTCTCACCAATGCCCTGTACAACTGAAACATAACATGCTTACTTTTATGTTCAATTCCTCACATAATAAAGTTCAGCACTACATTAGACTTCCTGATTGAGTGCTGTCCCTGCTTGCTAACTTTTTGACTCAGGCACCAGAACACTTCACCCCTCTGCATTAGGAATTCTGCAGTTCTTCTCCATTTAAATAAAACTCTGCTGTTTTATCCTTCCTAAAGTGAACAACTTCACATCTTGCCACATTACACACCATCTGCCAGGTTTTTGCTCATTCACTCAGCCCATCTACATCCATGGGGGCAGCACGGTGGCTCAGTGATTAGCAGCGCCAGGGACCTGGGTTCAATTCCACTCTCAGGCGACTGTCTGTGTGGAGTTTGCACATTCTCCCCATCTCTGCGTGGGTTTCCTCCAGGTGCTCCAGTTTCCTCCCACAATCCAAAGTTGTACAGGTTAGGTGGATTGGCCATGGGAAATGCAGGGTTACAGGGATAGAGTGGGGGGATGGGTCTGTGTGGGATGCTCTTCAGAGAGTTGGTGTGAACTTGATGGGCGGGATGGTCTCTTTCCACACTGGAGGGATTCTATTCTATTCTAAATCTACAACTTCCTTCTCCTTTTCACAACATACTTTCCGACCTAACTTGGCGTCATCTGTGAATGCAGTTGCCATGTTTTCACTCTGTTCCTCTAAGTCATTGATGCAAGTTAGAAAAGGCTGAAACCCCAGCACTGACACCTTCAGCATTCCACTTGCCACATCCTGCCAATCAGATGAAGACCCAACTGTGCAGACTGTCCTTTTTTCTGCCAGCCAGTCAATTCTCTATCCTTGTTAATATGTTACGCCTCCTACACCATAAGCTTTTAGTAATAACCTTTGGCATGGCAGCTCATCACATGCCTTCTGGAGATTCGCACAGAGTATGTCTGCAAGTTTCCCTTTCTCTACAGCACATGTTACTCCTTCAAAGAACTCCAATATTTTGGTTAAATACAATTTCCCTTTGACAAAACCATGATAAAACTTCTCGATTACCGTGAGCTTTTACCTTCAGCCATTCTCCTCTCTTTCAAATGGTATGTTAATTCAATCATATTGTAGTCACTACTACCTCGAGGTGCCTTAGAGTCATAGAGCTGTACAGCATGGAAACAGACCCTTCGGTCCAACTCATCCATGCTGACCAGATATCCTAATTAATCTTGTCCCATTTGCCAGCATTTGGCCATATCCCTCTAAACCCTTCCTATTCCTACACCCATCCAGATGCATTTTAAATGCTGTAATTGTATCAGCCTCCACCACTTCCTCTGGCAGCTCATTCCATACATGCACCACCCTCTGTATGAAAAAGTTGCCTCTTAGGTCCCTTTACAATTTTTTCCCTCTCACCTTAAACCTATACCCCTAGTTTTGGACTCCCCTACCCTGGGGAAAAGACCTTTGCTGTTCACCATATCTATGCCCCTCATGATTATATAAAACTCTGTAAGATCACCCCTCAGCCTCTGATGCTCCAGGGAAAATAGCCCCAGCCTATTCAGGCTCTCCCTATAGCTCAAATCCTCTAACCCCAGCAACATCCTTGTAAATCTTTTCTGAACCCTTTCAAGTTTCACAGCATCCTTCCTATAGCAGGGTGACCAGAATTGAACACAGTATTCCAAAAGTGGCCTCACCAATGTCCTGTACAGCTGCAACATGACCTTCCCAACTCCTGTACTCAATGCACTGAAATAAAGGCAAGCACACCAAACGCCACATTACATAGTACCAGTCGAATATGACCGGCACCCTGGTCAGTTCCAGAGTGTGCAGGTTAAGAAACTCTCTCAAAAGCATTCTATTAACTCCTTATCCAGTCTACTATTGGCAATCTGATTTTTTCAGTTCATATGTAGATTAAAGGCACCCATTATTATTACTGACCCTTTACCACAAAAAGGTGTCTCCTTGTATACTGAAATGACTGCACAGAGACTGGTATCCCGTCACCAAGACCCCCTTTACTTACTTGTGCACAGTACACTGGCTGTGGCCAGCCAGCATGGAATCAGTCACCTGAACTGAGGAGATTCTGAATCTCCTGCTTCTATTGGTCAGCCAGGACACACTGACTGGCCCAGGGAAACAACCCCAATCAACAATCTTAGTCAATAAGATCCACCTGGTTCCAATCACTACATATACTTTGTCCCATATTGCGGTTACTGTTAGGGGGCCTGTAGGCCACTGTCATTAACAGTCTCTCTAAGCAGCACAGCCACTCCAAGGGTCACGCACACTGACCAACATGATGTCGATCCCAACACTGACTTATAGTTTCCAAAGATCCCACTCCTGACTCCTGTTGTGAAGTTGGGTAGAGTAGTTGTGGATTGGAAGGCAGCAAGTTAGAACTTGGTGTTTGTAAAATGCTAGGGGTGAAAGTAGTGCGTGGTCCCTTGAAAAGATTGTGCTTTTTCTATGCATAGAGATTTAAAAAGGATGCCTGTGAGCAGCTTGAAAGCTTGCAAGAGCATAGAGAGCACCTGAATTGAAACATTTGTATCACCAGGCCATACAGTTAGCAGGCCAAGCAGCAGTTTTGTTTTCTTATCAAGACAAGTTCTGAATTTAGCCAATCAATTTGAATGAGGCTTTTACGCTATCAAAAACCAATTACATTTAAATCTGATGGCTTTGACAACATAGGACCAACCCTATTGTAAGAAACTGATATGTCATCAAGGGTATAAAAGAGGAGGGCAGTTGGACAAAGACAGGAGACCTAACTGCCACCTGCCAAAGTTAACAGTTCTCAAGAGAGAATCACTGGCTCTCACAGTCTTCTCTAAGTCTTAGAGAAAGCACCATCTAAAGAACATGAGTACCTATAGCACAACTAGTTAATATTCCTGACATAAGAACTGACAGAGAAGGCATTCCTGACAGAACATTCAACAGAGACGGCACAGAATAATCCAGAAGACACATAACCAGGCTGTAATTTTAAGAGACTAAACTCTACTTTATTTTATTTTTATAAGTGGGACTTGTATTTATTGGAACAGCATACCATCATAGTGTTGTTTTATTCAGGAATAGTTAGTAGTTAGAAGGGGTTTATTTGGTTTGTTAATGGTTTAGTTAATTTGTTCACTGTTGGAGTTAGATAAATAAATTATTATTTGTTGATTGTAAAGTGAGTGTCAGGGATTTATTTTAATTAACCACTAGAAGTTGCTGTAAGGCAGGTTACATGACTTTTCACACACCGTTTTAACTGATTACAGGGCTCTTTGGGGGTTTCGGTTTTAGTTCTCAGAAAGGGAGGGGGAGAAATCAACCTCCACTTTATAACATTCCTTTTTCCGATATTCCTCATCTCCACCCAAGAGATTCTACATCCCGATCTCCTGATCCAAGGTCATCTCTAACTATTGTACAACTGCCATACTTAATTAAAATGCTAGCCCTCCAACTTTACTTAGCCTCCTAATTTTGTGGAATGTCATACACCGTTCAATATTCAGGATCCAATCTGGATCGCCCTGAACTCTATGTAAGGAACATCAGCTTCCACTTATTTCATTGACTGTGCATGATCAATTTGTTTACCTTGTTCTGAATGTTTTGTGCATTCAGATACAGAACTATTAGCTTTGTTTATGCTACATCTAGTCTTGATTATTGATGCATTCCTAAGATTTGTCTCTGTCCTTACCTGCCATTCTCTGACTCCATTTTCTATATTACTATTTTCCTCTCTTGCCTCGTCTCCATTATCCAGTAACTTTTGCATTGCTGTTTGTGGGTGTTTTCTGTGTATAAATTAAATGTCACATTTTCTATATTACAACACTTTAGAGTCAAGCTTCCCACGTATAGACAATACAGAATTTGAGGACATCCTGAGGTTGTAGAAATGCCAGTCTTTTTCCCTTTGGAACTAGGTCTACGCTGAAAAAGCATAACGGTTGAATATCGCCAAGGAGCACGTGACATTGTGGGATACAAGTCAGCCATTGAAGTGGGCCAGCATCTGATGTAGAAATGGTTTCAGAGACACTTACTGCCCTGGCAATGACTCCTTTCATGGTCCCAGAGAGAGCAGCTGCCATGCCAAAGCGTCCATTATTCAAAATATTCATGGCCACCTTGAAACCACCGCCAACTTCTCCCAGCACGTTCTCCACTGGCACCTTCACATCCTCAAAGTGCACTTCCGCTGTGTTTGACGCTTTGATGCCCATTTTCTTCTCTGGAGGCCCACTGAAACACAAAAGGACAGAGATAAGGATTACTTGGTAAAGATTAGGGCTGCTTATTGACAAAGTTAGAAAGTAAAAACATGAGAAGGTATGTATAGATCTTTGGTGAAGCAGCAACTGGTGTTTTGTGGCCAGTTCCCTGATGGGTACCATACTTCAGGAGAACTGGCAGTGCTTTGGAGAGGTTGCACACAGGATTTACAAGAATACTGCCAGGGACGTGGAGATACTGGGATTGTTCTTAGAGCTGAGATAGTTAAATGGAGAGTTAATACAGATGCTTAGATTCATAAGGGATTTGATTGAGTAAACAATGAGAAACTATTCCCAGTGGTAGGAATATCAGAGGGACACGGAGTAAGAACAATTGGCAGAAGAACCCAAAGGAGAGATCCTCCGGCTGCTCTGGATCCCTCCCTCAGTCTAAAGTTGAGCAGGTTAGGTGCACTTGGCCATGGGCAATTCAAGGTTACGGGTCAGCGTAGGGGGCTGGGTCTGGGTGGGATGCTCTTCAGACGGTCAGTGTGGACTCAATGGGCCGAATGGCCTGCTTCCACACTGTATGTAGAGAATTTTTTCCACAGTAAGTTGTTGTGATCTGGAATACATTGCCTGAAAGCAAAGTGGAAGCAGATTCAATGATAATAATCTAAAACTCTTTATAAAAGTTATCTGAAAAATAAAATTATTAGGGATATGAAGAAAGAGTGGTTGGGTGTAATGGGACTAATAGAATAGCTCTTTCAAAGAGCCCGAACAACACAAATGGGCCAAATGGCCTCCTCTGTATTTCTATGCTGGAAAGGATAGTGGTAGAGACACTTCAGTTGGTTTTCCTCATGCCACCTGGGCCTTCAATCAATGAGGCTTCATTCTCTCCCAGATCTACAGTCCCCAAATTTCCTCAAATGGGTTTCAGGTTCAGTTTGTGAAGAATAAGCTCCCAATCATGGATGCCCCATGTGGTTGACTGTGTGTTCTTAGGTCAGGGGAGGGGCAAGAGAGATAAGCTGGCTACAAGCCAGATTTGCTAAGATGCTGTGGTTTGAGATGCACTGTTGGAAAGATCGCCTGCGTGGAACATAAAACTCAGCGCAGGCCATTCAATCGCTGTAGCCTGTTCCACTATTCAATAAGATCTTGACTGATTTGCCCCAGGCTTCAATCTCTATTTCATGCCAGCTCTTCATGGCCCTCAACCCACGTGCAATTCAAAAATAAACCTACCTCCTCTTTAAATACTTTCAGTAATCTAGCCCCCACAACCCTCTGGGTTAGAGGATGCCAGACTCACTCAATCCCCTATTAGAAGAAATTTCTTCACGTATCGGTTTTAAATGAGTGCCCATTTATTCTGAAACTATGTCCCCCTAGTTTGCGACTCCCCCACTAGTGGAAATATCTTCTCAACATCCACCAACTTTCTGACATTACGTCAGTGAGTAGGTTTCAACAAAGTACTTCATTGGCTGTCACTGTTCTGGGGTGTCCTGGCGTTGCAAAAGGCACCTCTAAAATGCCAGATCTTTGCCTTACAGCCAAAACTATGGCAAACTGATCTCCCATGGGTTTGATTGGGCTGTGCGCAGTAGCAGCTGTGATGTTTGGGGTAAGTATAATTGAGGGGCAGGGATGTGTAGAACAGGATGTACAGACACCTTCAATCACTTTCCGTTTTTTGTCCCACCCTAAACCTCTATGTAAACTTGTAATGCTGCAATAGCACCCTCCTGCCAGTGAGTGGCAGCACTGGGGTGTTTTGAAGTAATTCGCTGGAGGGAAGGTGCAATTATAAAAATTCTGGAGATCAGTGGGTCAGGCAGCGTCCATGGAGAAAGCAAGCTAATGTTTCAAATCCTGACAACTCTTCATCAGAGCTGACGGGAAGTGCGGAGGGGGCAGCGTTTATGGAACAGTTTGGGTGGGGGGTGGGGGGGGGGAAGGGTGAGTGCTGGGGGAAAAAGTTCAGATTAAGTGATTGGAATGTGAGAAAGGCAGAACAATGGTGTGTCTAACTGCCGCACTGGAAACAACAGACAGTCCCATTGGACTCGAAATGTTAGCTTGCTTTCTCTCCATGGATGCTGCCGGACCCGCTGTGACCTCCAGCATTTGTTGTTTTCAGTACAGATTGCAGCATCTGCAGTAATTTGCTGCTACATTATATTTATCCAGGATATTTGCATGATAAATGTTTGTGTAGGAGTTTAGAATGGAGGGTGTGTGCACCGCCACAACATCTCACAGCCCCACAGGTTAAACACGACCTACCTCGTCACTCCTCCGAATCCCCGCTCCACAATAAATGTGGTGATTTTGTCCTTCACTTCACCGGTTGTTTCATCTTTCACCGACATTTTAGCAAAGACAGTGAAGATATCTGCCAGGCCACCATTACTGCCAAAACACATGGACATGAGTACAGGGTTACCATCATGCACACCAGGATGGCAACAGGACTTATTAAACAAACTGCTTCAGATGATGGGTCAGGCATGCAGTGAGCTAACGGTTGTAGGTTTTGAAGACACAGAGATGAAACCCGGTCACAGTAATTGTGCAAATGAGATACAAGGGCACAAATCTCACTAGTAAAACAACAGCCAGTTCATGACATACGCCATTCTTCACGTGCACGTTAGCCAGGAAGTTGGGGCCTAGGGGAGATACACTGTGATTTACAAATTGACAGAATTCACTGAACAATTTGTACCATTCACCCTTATCACACTTGGGTTTTGTGAAGTCACTTGACTCAGCACATTAGTTGCCAATTACACTCAGCACAGAGTTAGAACTTGTCCTTGTTAGTGAATTTTGAGCTTCTTGGCCGGACCAGCATTTATTGCCCTTCCCTAATTGCCCTGTAAGTGGTGGTGGTGAGCCACCTTATTGAAATCCTGCAGTCCTTAGGCTGTAGGTTGACCCACAATTCCATTGGGGGGGGTGGGGGTGGAAATGTCAGGATTTTGACTGGCAACACTGAAGGAATGGCGATATATTTCGAAGTCAAGATGATGTGTGCCTTAGAGGAGGACCTTGCAGGGGATGGTATTCCTATAGATCTTCTGCCCTTGTTCTCCCAGCCCTAACTGATTTTTTCAATCCATAATATCATTGGTTAAAGGGGTAGCCTGTTGGTCCTATCCTTCTCTGGAGTCCTTGGTGCCTGTTCCTGCTTTCTCCCCAACACCTTTGATGCTTTGGCCCTAAGAACTATATCTGACTCCTTGAAAACACTCAGTGTTTAGGCCTCAAATGCTTTCTGTGGCAGCGAATTCCAGAGGCATTTTTTTTTTTTAAAAACAGAAGTGGAGAGTTTCCAGACTGACCACGCAGTCAGAGATTATCGGGAGAAGTTTCTATGTTTCTGTGCTATACAGGCAGGAATGAGGGGTTGAGGTCACAATCATTTTTGCCATGATCTTACTGAAAGGCACAGCAACTTCGAGAAAACCTCCTCACTCTCAGTCCTAAATGGCCTGCCTATTATCTGTAAACTGTGACCTCCTGATTCTGGACTCCCTGGTCACCAGAAATATCCTTTCTGCATTTAGCCTGTCTAGTCCTGTTAGTATTTTATAGATGTCTATGAGATTCCCCCTCCCCTTTCTTCTGAAGTCCAGTGAACATAGCCCTAACTGATCCAGTGTCATTTCATACATCAGTCCCACCATCCCAGGAATCAGTTGGGTAAACTTTTGTTGCATTCCTTCCATAGCCTGAAATTCCTTCTTCAGGAAAGGAGACCAGTACTCCCATACAATTGCAGAAAGACATCCCTACTCCTGTATTCAAATCCTCACGCTACAAAGGCCAATACACTATTTGCCTTCATCACCACCTGCTGCAGCTGGTGTACAAGGTCACTCCGGTCTCGTTGCACCTTCCCTTTCCAATCTTTTGCCGCTCAGATAATAATCCACCTGCTTTTTACTCCCAACTTGGGTAACCGCACGTTTATCCATATTATACGGCATTTGCCCAATCATTCAGCTAGTCCAAATCGTACTGAAACATCCCTGTATCCTCCTCACAGCTTGTCCTCCCTCCCAGCTTTGTTCTATCTGTAAACATGGAGATATTACAGTTAGGAGAATTAAGAGCAGGTGTATGTAACTTCCTCCTTTGAACCTGATATGCTTTTCAGTAAGATCATGGCTAAATCTGACGGTGGCCTCAACTCCGTATTCCTGCCTCTTAAACATAGAAACAGAAACCAAAAGAACTGCGGATGATGTAAATCAGGAACAAAAACAAAGTTGCTGGAAAAGCTCAGCAGGTCGGGCAGCATAGAAACATAGAAACCGTCCCCCCCGATAATCTCCGACTGCCTGGTCAGTCAGGAGCTCTCCATCTCGACTGTAAAAATACTCCACTCTCTGGGGAAGACAGATCCACACATTCAAGACCCTTTGAGAGAAGAAAATTTACATCTCAGAGTTAAATGGGAATCCCATTTTCTAAAAACTGTGTCCCCTAGCTCTAGTCTCTCCCCTTTAAAACATTCTCTCAGTATCCACCCTGTCAGGTCCCCTTACGATCTTATATCACTCAATATTTCTCCCAAATTGTGTGTTTATCCACTTCATTGACCAGTGGGAAACCTACTTTACAATTTAACTTCCCATCTGTACTCACTGTATTCACCTCCACAATGTGGAGGTGCCAGTGTGGGACTGGGGTGGACAAAGTCAGAAGTCACAGGACACCAGGTTATAGTTCAACAGGTTTGTTTTTTAAAACACAAGCTTACAGAGCATTGCTCCTTCGCCTGGTGACAAATATGCAGCGCTCCAAAAGCTTGAGATTTCAAATAAACGTGTTGGACAATAAGCTGGTGTCGTGTGACTTCTGATTCATTTCCACAGGAACAGGAGGAAGCCATTCGACCCCTCAAGCTTGTATTGCCCATCAATGAGATGCATTCTAATTCTGACCACTCACCGTGGCTCTCTAATCATGAAAATCCACTAGTTTCAGATGTGAAATGTATTAGGGTAACATCCACTGTGTGCTGTGTGAAAGACTCCCACAATTCTATCATGGTCTTGTGCAAAGGCAGGTGTTTGGATTTCATTGCCCCTCTGCCAGGTGAGCCCATACCTGATCCAGATTTTGCCCCCATTAAGGATGTAGTACTTTCCGCAGTCGCTCTTTTTGGCTGTGGTTTTGATGGATGCAGCATCAGAGCCACTGGCAGGTTCAGTCAGACAGAAGGCAGCGATTGTTTCTCCTGAGCAGAACAAGCTCACAATGATATAGCAAATAGTGTCACAGCATCTTTTACAGCATTTCACAGCCACCAAACTCCTCACTGTTCTCATTAGGGAAATTCAACAGTCAATTTGCACTCAGTAAACTCCCACAAACAATGGCCACCTAATCTGATTTAATGATGCCAATTGAGGGATTTGGGAGAGAACTTTCAGTTGATAATGGCAGCCATGAAATTTTTCACATTCATCTGGGAGGGTAGAGAAGGTCTCACTTTAATGACCAACTCTAAAAACAGCACCTCCAACACTGCAGCACACCCTTAGTGCTATGATGGGAGTGTTTACCTGGACTACAGGCTCAGGTTTCCTGGCTGGTGCAGCTCAGTGGTTAGCACTGCTGCCTCACGGCACCAGGGACCTGGGTTCGATCCCACCCTCAGACAACTGTCTGTGTGGAGTTTGCACATTCTCCCAGTGTCTGTGTGGGTTTTCTCCGGGTGCTCCGGTTTCCTCCGACAGTCCAAAGAAGTGCAGGCTAGGTGGATTGGCCATGCTAAATTGTCCCATAGTGCCCAGGGATGTGCAGGTTAGGGTGGGTTGGCCGTGCTAAATTGTCCCGTAGTGCCCAGGGATGTGCAGGTTAGGGTGGATTGGCTGTGCTAAATTGTCTCTTAGTGCCCAGGGATGTGCAGGTTAGGTGGGTTAGACATGGGAAATTAGGGGAATGGGTCTGGGTGGGATGCTCTTCAGAGGGACAATGTGGACTTGTTGGGCCGAATGGCCTGTTTCCACACTGTAGGGATACTATGATCTATGAACTCAGGGCATACTGTCTCAGTGCTACTCAGGCAGCTGTGACTAACACTAACATTTTCAGAAGCACAGAATGGGGTTTATGGCCTCCCTCTACACTGTCCCCCATCAAACACTCCCAGGCCAGGGACAGCACAGGGTTACATACAGAGTAAAGCTCTCTCAATACTGTCCCCATCAAACACTCCCAAGACAGAGACAGCAGAGACTTAGTTAGACTAAAGCAGTTTCCATTTTGCTTAGACCTAGAACACTTCTTTAATTCTGGTTAATAGGAATTCGGTTTCATAAGAGACTGTCACAGGCAGTGAGAGGGGTGCCTCACAGTGGACAGGATTTTAACCCCATACACAAGGAGTGAAAGGCCAGGGTCTTTCCCTGGCTGTGCTGTGGTAGCTCAGTGCTGCATACCTGTAGCCAGCTTTGGAAGGTACTTCTTCTTCTGGGCATCGTTTCCAAACAGGAGAATCCCTTTGAAACCAATGGATTGGTGGGCACCCAGAGTGATGCCTACACCCAGGTCATGCATGCCAACAATCTCAACCAGTCGGGCATACTATCGAATAAAAAAAAAACATTCAGATTTTTTATGTGTGGGTGACCCTGTGACCCATACACTAATTACCGTTCTCCTTACAAAGGACCTGTGAATTTTACTGGTCTCCTGACATGCTGGTGACTCATTTCTCCTGTACCCACTGAGGCTTAGGCTCTCGTTTCTGCTCAGCAATTTCAGAAAATCAATTGGAAACTGAAGCACCCAGAGGGAAAAACATGTTGTGTTCTACCACCCTGTAGAATTGTACAGCACAGGAGGCCAGTCAGCCTGTCATGTCTACAGTAGCCCCTCTGAAAGAGCTATCCACTTAGTCCCTCTTTTCCTCACCACCCTGTAAAGTTTTGCTTTTCAAGTGTTGATCCAGCTCCCCTGTTTGAAAGTTCCACCCTTTCAGATAGCACATTCAAAGTCAGAACTTGCTGTGTTTAAAAAAAACTCATCTCCCCCTCTGGGTTTTTTTATGCCAATTACCTTCAATCTGTGACCTATACTGTCTCACCCTACCACCAGTAGGAACAGTTTATGCACTCTGACACAGCCTTAAATGCCCTTCTAAATTTGAATACCTCTATTCTACCCTCCTTAAATCTTCTCTGCTCTAAAGAGAGCAACACCAACCTCTCCAGTCTCTCCTTTTAACTGAAGACTCCCATTCCTAATCATTGTATGGTAGCACAGAATTTGAATCTTGCTAAAATAAATGATATATTGTTCAAGCTTTACATGTTTCATTCATTAGGTCAGATGTGAGAATACCAATTTGTAAAGGGAGCTACAATTTGTGAAGAGTGCAAAATAGAAACTTTATGAATTAAAAAGATCCCTGGTGCAATTCCCATGGCAATGCCTCAATCATTCAGATTCCATTTGTCAACCAAACAGCACCCTTTCGTGATGAAAAGCGTCGAAGAAATATTACCATTTGGGATTTGGATTTTAGAATGTAGGCAGATGGATTTTGCTCAGTTCTGTGAAGGTGATTCTGTGGAAGTCAAAAAGTACATTTGGAACAGTGATCTAAATACATCATTTCCAAGGAGGCATACAACCTCACTGCAATGCCTGGCCATACTACACTATTCATGGATAGAACGTTTATACTGCTGAGCTCACGGCAGATCAAAAACCATTAGGTTAGCTGTTGACTTCAGTTCAGAAGAATCAGCAGTTCAGTTCAGAACAGAGAAAAGTCTTCCCCTAGCAGAGCAATCCAATGGTCAGTTCAAGGGAACCACTCACCCTAGCATAAGTGGTTTTAGTTTGTGAAACTGCCAAGGTAAGAAAGTTCGTATGGAAGTCCTCAAGTTGTTAGAATTAAAAAAAAGATTCAGGCCATTAAAAATGCAAATGGTTCATGCTAATAGTTTTGCAAAGTATTCATAAACCTGCCTCAGTGGTCTAAGGAAAACTGGAAAGAGTTAGGTTAGTAAGCAATTAGGGTTGAGACAGGAGTGATGTTTCTCTGAGATTGAGTATCTGTTGGGAAACAGGGTGAAACCATGTTTTGCTGTGTGTCAAGATCTTTCTATTATATATATAGAGCTTGTTTTCTTCTTTGTGTAACATACCAATCTTCTTTTGCTCAAGAACATTAAAGTCTTGTGTGAATGTGTTCCCCGTGACTAACCACTATAGTAACTAACTGCAATAATTGAATATATCTGATCTATCAAGCCAGGTTTCATTCTGGATCGGAATTGGCCAGTATTACCATCAGGTGGGATCACAACATTCTTCTCCTGTAGTCTAAACTGTTGCTTCCTTTGAAATTTCACATTCCTGATGTGTCCAAGGTGAAAATCTCGACAGCATGTCTCTTACCTTATTTCTGGTAGTATTCTAATAAAATTTCCACCGCACCCTCTCCAAAGTAAGATATATTTCTTAAAATTTGACACCAGAATTATACACAACAGTCTGGTTTAAGCTTGTTGTGTATTTTTTACAGTTTGGTATCACACTCTGGTTTTTGTACTCTGTGCCTCTATTTGTAACATCAAAGATTCTGTATGCTTTTGTGAACTCTCCCAATCTCTCTACACACTTGAAATGCGTCACTCCTGGTACCATTCCAGTAAATTTCCTCTGTGCCCTCTTGCTCAGATTTGAATGAGCTGTTCAAGGAGTAGCTCATGTAGTGGTGACTAAAGGACAGACTGACAAAATTTAGCAGTAAACAAAGGACCAGAGAGGCAACAAAGAAGTTACAAGACAACTGTACATTGCTCCTTCAGCAGTTAATCTGAAAATCAGGAAGAAGGAAAAGGAAACTTACTGAAAATAAATCCTCCACTCAGACATGGGGGTGCAAAGTGTTGAAAGAACAATAAACCTCAATCCTCACACATTATCTGTATCTTTGAAGATTCATAACTGCATATCCTGCTAAAATACTTTATTTAACCTGCAGAGCAAAACAATGAATTCTTCAACTGAGCTATGCTCTCTAATGGAAAGTATGTCACCTACTCAGTTATTACAGCTTACTGCAGAGAGCTGACAAAGTGGCTCAAGTAGCATGGGCCAGAAAACCGTGCCCCATGGGTCATTACCAGTACAGTGTCAAAACACTTATTCACAAGCAGTGAGACCATAAAGCTTATCGTCAGCCCCATGTGCATTATGGAAGAGTGTGGGGAAAAACAAAAACTAAAAAGATCCAGTGAACTGAATGCTGTCTGGTGACCATTACTCACCTCATGCAGGTGGAAAATGGGCAGGGAAGGTGCTGAGTATTACGTGGAACCAGAATCGATCTCAGCTATGATGCCCTGAGTGGTTGACTATCTTTTCTGACATTATCCCAGCACTGGGTCAACAACTCCGGAAGGCAGCTTGTTTTGCCAGTTTGTGAAGAGTTGAATGACTATCTAACCTGTTCTGGTGCCCTACCCCGCAACAACCACACCCAACACTCAACCCAGGTTTGGACATTTCCACTCGGCCCTCAATCTGAACAGCGGTTATGGGGCAGGGAGTGTTCTGCATTTCCATGATCCTTTTTGGTGTGCAGGATGTGGACCCTCGCCCTTCCCATAGTGGAGGAAGTTGCACACTGGCTGCCCAAACAAACTGTCTTGCCTCTAAATTACCTGTGTGTTGGTGAGCCCCAGTCCTCCAAGCTCAGATGGCACCTGCAGGCCAAACGCCCCCATCTCCTTCAGGCCTTCCATCGTGCTGTCCTCCACTTTCTCCAGAGAGTCATTGGCAGCTGGGTCATTGACCTCCTGCAGGACAAAGGGTCAAGATCGACATTGGAATGATTGGTTGTACCCTCCCTGATCCCTCGCAAATATTAACCGGCTTTAAAAAACATCAGACACTACATGCTGGAATCCCACTTCAATGCAATGAAGCAGGAGTGACAGAGTAACTACCAGACTGCAGTCAGTTAGGCAGAGAGTGAGCAGAGGATAATGCAGGCAGTAATGCTTAGCTGGCCCAAGGAGAGGGAGTGGCTGCAAAGTGATTTAAAAGTCTGTAGCTCATAAGAGATTTAAGACATGTGAAGAGGGTTTGAATTCCTGAGGAACAGAATTGGAGACAGCAGATATGGCTGGTATCAGCAAGCATGAAATGTGTATAAGGCAGTGTTTGGAAAAAAGTGTGGGAGAGCAATGTTCCAATGAGCAATTATCTTTGTGGTATTGATAAACAGCAGAATGAGAATGATTTGGGTACTAGTGGCCCCAATATGAGGGTTTCTACTTTTCTATCAAAGCAGTTAAGCTTTACACCAGAGAGAGGGGTTTTAAAGGAGGAGACGGTGGGAGAGGGGCTTAGGGAAGCATTTCCAGAGGCTCAGGGCCCAGAGAGCTGAAGGTGCGGACACCAAAGATAGAGCAAAAGTAGTAAGGGATGTGGAAGAAGCCAGAATTGAGAGTGCAGTGGAGATGCAAAGGGGCTAGAGGAGGTTACAGAGACAGGGAAGGGTATAGGGATGGTGAAGGAGTTACAGAGATAGGGAGCGGTGGAGGGTATGGAGGAGGTTATAGCCATTGGGAGGGACAAGACCTAAATGGTCCGTCCCTTATTCTGAGACTGTGTTGAGTTGCAGAGATCCCCTACCCCAGTTTGTTTACCACATCCCTCTCGCAATATAGTCTGTTGAGTCATTTAAAAAGTTTGCAAATTGCAGATGGATTGCTGTGTATTTCAATAATTTCAGATGTAATGTATTCAAAGAGTTTTAAAATCTGCCCGTCTTTCTCTAAAAGCTGGACTCAGTGGCAGGAGGTTGTATGCCCTCTGCTGGGGGACTCAAATATATCTTCAGTGTCAGGCAAGGACTGTGCCATTTGTGAGAGGACAGAGACTGCAGAATGCTGATGTACTGAACAACTTGTTTCATAAAATCATGCAGCATGGAAACAGATCCTCTGGTCCAACCAGACCATGTTGAACATAATTCCAAACTAAACTAGTCCCACCTGCCTGTTCCAGCCCATATCCTATTCACATACTTATCCAAACGTCTTATAAATGTTGTAACTGTACCCGCATCCACCTCTTCCTCAGGAAGGTTATTCCACATGCAAACCACCCTCTGTGAAAAAAAATTTGCCTCACGTCTTTTTAAAATCTCTCCTCTCACCTTAAAAATGTGCCCCCTGGTCTTGAAATCCCCCATCCTAGGGAAAAGACAACTACCATTAACTCTACCTATACCTCTTTATTTATTTAAACTTTTATCAGGTCACCTCTCAACCTCCTATGCTACAGTGAAAGAAGTCCTTGCCTATCCAGACTTTCTTTATAACAAACCTTCAACACCTGGCAACATCCTGGTAAATCTTTTATCCTTTCCCATAACTGGGCAACCAGAACTGGACACAGTACTCCAGAAGAGGCCTCATCAATGTTCTGTACACCATCAACATGACTTCCCAACTCCTATACTCAAAGGACTGAGCAATGGAGGCAAGCACGCTAGATGCCTTTTTAACCAACCTGTCTATATGTGACGCAGATTTCAAAGAATTATGTTCCTGAACCTCAGGTCCCTCTGTTCTACAACACTACCCAAGGCCCTACCACTAATTGTATAAGTGCTACCCAATTTTGTTGTACCAAACTGCAATACCTTCCATTTATCCAGATTGAACTCCATTTGCCATTTTTCAGCCCATTGACCCATTTGATCCAGATCTCTTTGTAATCTTAGAAAACCTTCTTCATTGTCTACAATTCCATCAATTTTGGTGTCATCCACAAACTTACTAACCACGCCTTCTATATTCTCAGCCAAATCATTTAGATAAATGACAAACAAAAGAGCACCCAAAATCGATCCCTGTGGAATACTGCTGGTGACAGGCCTCTGGTCAGAAAAGCAAACCTCCACCATTACTCTCTGACTCCCGCTGTTAAGACACCTTGTTCATCAATCATAAAATGTCAGCATACAGGATACAGCAAATAACGGAGAAGGCAAACTGAATGCTGGCCTTTATTACAAGGTGGGGCGTGTGGAGATAAAAGTAAGGAAGCTTTATTAAAACTGTATGCAGCTTTGAGACCTATAGCATGTGTGTAGTTTGGATCCGAGGAGGGATATATTTGCATGGGAAGCAGTTTAAAGAAGGTTCACTCTGCTGATTGCTGCGATTAAGGGGTTATCTTAAGAGGCAATGTTCGTCAAGTTGGGCCTGTATTCATTGGAGGTTAGAAGAATAAGAGATGACTTTATTGAAGTAGAATAGATTCTGAGGGACTTGACAAAGTAGATGCTGATAGGACATTTCCCCTCCTGGGGGCATTTAGAAGTAGGGATCACAGTTTCTAAATAAGGGGTGAGGAGGACTTTCTCCTCTCAGAGCATGGTAAGCCTGGTGAATTCTCTTCTCCACAGAGCAGAGGAGGCTGGGTCAGAGAATGCACTCAAGGCTGAGTTAGACAGATTTTTGATTGATGAGGGAGTTGATGTTACTTGGGGGGTGTGCAGGAGAGACTATAATCAAATCAGCCATGATCTTATTGAATGGCAGAGACTAAATTACCTACACCAGCTTCTGGTCCAAAAGATATTATTGCCATTGAAGGAGTACAATGAAGGTTCATCAGATTTGGAATGGAGTGGACTATCCTGTGAAGACAGATTGGGCAAACAGGTCTGTGTTCTGTACAGTTTCAAAGATCAAAAGGTGATCTGTTTGAAAGTTACAAAATAATGAAAGGGATTGACAGGATAGATAGATGCAAGTCAGATGGTTCCTCTGGTCAGGAAGTCTAGAGAACCAGGAAGCACAACTTAAAAGGGGGAATGCCACTTAGGTCTGAGTCAAGACTTTTTTTTCACTCCGAGGATTGTGAACATTTGGCGTTCTCGACCCCAGAGGGCTGTGGGAACTCAGTCTTTGAGTGTGTTTGAAGTAGACGTTGATTGGTATTTTCTAAAAAAAAATCTATGATGTAAAGACATATGGGGGTGGTGTGGGCAAAAGGTATGGAATTGGATTATAAGCCATGATCATATTTAATGGCAGAGCGCGTTCAATGGGCTGAATGGCCGATTTTGTTCCTCTTTCTTATAACTTTATGAGAGGAACAGAGGTAGTCAATGAAATGAAGATTGAGAGGTTGATATTATTGGTAACAGAGGAAATGTGAATGTCTGGTCCAGCTGAAATAACTTACCTGGAAAAACTTGCTGACAGGTCCCACTAATTCCCGGAGAAGCTGCTCCTGCTCATCATTCAGAACTGTACAAACACACATTCATAGATGGCATTAGTTTAGTCTGCCAGCCACAAAGAAAAACTCTCTACTTTCATTTTGAAAAATTGGTCCTTTCTCTCTATTTACGCAACCCCCCCATCTCAAATGCCTTCACCTGAAAGCCCCAATTCATGCTTGGTGACCCCTCCCCGCCCATCATCAGGTTCATCTAACACAAAAAGTGTCAGACATTGTCACAGCCTGCTCCTATCCTGATGCAGTGATAGGAGAGGGCCATTCAGTCCCCCAGCCTGTTCTGCCGTTTGGGTCGTGGGCTGATGATAAAGTCATGGTAATCCACAGGCTCAGGTCAATGCTCTGAGGACACAAGTTCACATGCCAACACGGCGGCTGATGGAATTTGAACGTCAGTTACAATATTTGGAATTGAAAGCTAGTCGTCAGGGATGGCGATCTTGAAACTACCTTCAATAGTTCTATGTCCTTATCCAGTCTGGCATATACGTGACTCCAGACCATTGGTAGACTCTTAACTGCCACAAGACAGGCACTCAATTCAAGGGAAGTTAAGGATGGGCAATAAATGCTGGCCTTGGACTTACCAGCAAGGTCTACATCCTATCAAAGGATAAAATGAATTAGAATACACATCAGCCATGACCTAACTACCTAGCTATGGATGGATCCAACCTTAACCAGAAAAAAAGCTACAAATGGATTTTCAAAATTTCCAATTTCCAACTGTCGCCCCCACTAAGTCTCAAGAAATTTTTTGGTTGGGGTGGAGAGGGAGAAGAGAGAAAGAGTTTGACATTACCACTCCCCTCTGTATGAGCACGTGACCTGACAGCACCATAGCATGAACTTTAAGGTTCTGTTCCCTGTTCAGGACTCTCCCCCACTATAGGTAATAGTTCTCTCCACTGAGCCTATTAATTCCTGTAAAAATTTATGAACAGTTCAAATAAATTCTAATGGCTTTGAAACTGTACAACACGAAGTTGCTAACCTGATGGTCAGTATGTTATTTTAGTACGTTCTTTCAATAATTTTATTTAGTACTTTTACATTTTATGGATCGTAAAAATTGCCTCAATTCAGCCCTTGGCCGCAACAAAAGTTAGATTTGAAATGAACAAAATATTTGATCATCATCAAACTCCTCAATGAGATTGCCCCTTAATTTCCTAGTCTCAGGGAGATACAAATCTGGCCTGCTAAACCTATCATTATAATTTAACCTTGGTATAATTCTGGTCAATCTCTGCTGCATCCCTCCAACACCAATATATCCTGCCTCATGTGTGGTGCCCAAAATAGAACCAATTCCTGGAAGATGGGATAACAAAGTGTGGAGCTGGAGGAACACAGCAGGAACTCATTTATTTCCGAGCTCCTCTCCCCTTCCCCATTTCTGAAGAAGGGTCCCGACCGGAAACATCAGCTTTCCTGTTCCTCTGATGGTGCCTGACCTGTTGTGTTCCTCCAGCTCCACACTGTGTGTTACCTCTGACTCCAGCATCTGCAGTTCTTGCTATCTTAGTGCCTGGAAGATCATGTTTTACATTGTCGTCCCACTCAAAGCAAGTTCCGCAGTCATACCAGAGGGGAAGGGGAACACCTGCTCTGTTTGGACCTGACCCCGAAACATGTTCACAGCAAACGACTTGGATTCCTGCATTGGAAAGAGAAAAAGTGTGTGTTACCCAATCGTCTCCAGTGGCATGATCACCATGCAACCCCCCACACCAACACCACCAGACCTCACCCCTTATACACACACCCCTACCGCCACATTTCCACCCGCCATCCAAATCTTATCCGGTCCCAGAGAGACAATCAAACCCTCAGTTCCTCGATCAATTGGCTCTTCAGTCACAAACTGAAAGCCACACCTGCTCTCACCTTGCCAAATTCCACCCCCGTCCTTACCGTCCAGCAGCTACTGAGTGGACAGTGACCATACCGACCACAGCCTGAGACATCATGGCACTCACACAAGATAAAGAGACTCCTGCATTCCTGCAGTGCCTTTCATCACCTTAGGACTTCTCAGGGGGTCTCACAGCCTATGAACACACTTCAGAAGCTCAATCATTTTTGTATAACAGGAAACACAGCAGCCAAGCTGTGCATAACAGGGTCCCACAAACAGCAAAAAGTTAATGATTAGATCTTCCGGACTTTCTTTTAAAAGCAATATTGATGAAAGGATAAATATTGGCCTACGAGACCGAGAAGGGGCCCCCGGTTGATAACTGAAATAGCACACTGAGATTTTATCCACACAGCAATTCAGAGTAGGTATGTGTTTAATGTCTTAAAGCCACAGTCAGATCAGCCACTATGTTATTGAATGGTGGAGCAGGGTTGAGGGGCCGAATGGCCTACTCTTGCTCCTACTTTGTACATGATGTTCAAATACATGAAGAATTTTGTAAAACGTACCGCAGCAACCATCTTCTTCTCCTTTATGGTTTTTACTGCTGGGGCCTCCGTGGTTGTTTTCTCCAGCACTGTCTAAAGTAACAAAAAGATGCAGTGGGAGAATGAGGGAGAGTTAAAGACAATCAGCTGAAGAGGGCATGGGGCCTATCACATTACCCAAGAACATTTCAGGGCTGCTAGAGCCCAGGTCAGCTGCTCCTTTCACACATCACACACTCAAGGACTTGACCCATTGTTTTATCCTGACAAAAGGTTCCTTAAAGTTTCTTATTAACCTTGCAACCTTCTCCAAACATTCAGGCCCAGTTCATTTCCTCGTCCTGACACATCTGTTATCCCACCAGCTCAGGATGTACCTTGTTCCATGTGGCATTTGATCACATATCTCAATCTCCTTCTAAGTCTCCATCCTGCTCTTACCCAGATAACCTATGAATCTGCTCACTGCTAGCTGCTGAACCCTGCTGTTTTCTGCACAGATTTCACTAGCTGCACTGTAAGCAGGTACAAGACTTCATTTGGAAATTTAAACTTGAAAGCGGAAGCCTGCATTATCAGCTTTTCTTTAATAAATTGAAGGAAAGTGGGACGGTATAAATTTTGCTGGGACCGGGATTGATAACTTTAGTACACATCAGCACCAAGTGTCTTCAAAAAGAAATGTAACTGCCAGCAACACAGTTAGAGTGTATCACTGAACTGAGAGGAGACAGATCAGTTGAGACACAGACCTCCAAAAAGCATGGAAGTAAGCCACACCCTTCTATCTGTCTCTTTTTAATTGAAAAGGAAATAATATTCAAAGACTTTACGAGAAAAAAAACTTTCGATTCCAGCCAAAACCTAGGTCCAACTGACTGCCTACAAATTGAGAATTGCTGCAGTCAAAAACTAGGAGATATCATTGTCAAAAGCCCAAACAAAAACGGAGAGAAAAGTCATGTCATGCTACACCTTTTCACGTGATCTTTGATCCACAGACATCATGCCTTTTATGTCTGTATTTTAAAACCCTGGTCAAAAATCACATGACACCAGGTTATAGTTCAACAGGTTTATTTGAAGACACAAACTTTTGGAATTTCGCTCCTTCTTCAGGTCTGATTGTTGGAACCTGCTGTGGGTTTATTGTCAGTTTTCAAGGAGGAGTTAGATATAGCGCTTGGCGAAAGGATCAAAGGTTATGAGGGAGAAAGTGGGAAATGGGGACTGAGGTGAATGATCAGCCATGAGCATCACGAATGCCAGAACAGATTCAAACAGCTTAATGGCCTACCTCCTCCTATTTTCTATGTCTCTATGTCAGAGTCAGATATTAACTATCCTAGTGATTAAATTAATCTTTTATACATTTGTGCTGACTTGCTAAATAGTGGGGCTTAATTTCCAGCACTCTCTGACAAAGGGGGATCTTCACCTGACATCACACCAGGAATCTAGAAAAACTGTGCAACCCTTTGCCCTAACTGGTACCAAATGCCTCTCTCCCCTCTGTGCCTGCTGACCTACACTGGCTCCCGATTGTGCAATGCTTCAAGTTTAAAATTCTCATCCTCGTTTTCAAACCTCTTCATGGCTTAATGCCCTCAATAGTGCATCCCTCCTATTGCTGTCACCCCCTCCACCCTCTCCCTATCTGTCACCTCCCCCAGCCCCTACACCCTCTCCCTATCTCTGTAACTCCCTCCATTCCCTACACCCCTCCCTGTCTCTGTCACGTCCCTAGCTCCTACAATTCTGAGCCATACTAGATTCAAACAGTAAAAACTTTGTTTCTCTCTCCACAGATGCTGCCAGATCTGCTAAGGTTCATTTAGGAACTATCTTACTGCTTTCCCCTTCAAAGCCTTCAATACTCCAATGTTCATTCAGAACACAGGATACAGGGGCAGGAGTAGGCCATTAAGCCCCTCAGCCTTCTCTGCCATTCAATACCATTATGGCCGATCCTGGGCTTCGACACCACTTTCCCTCCCGCTCTCATATCCTTTGATTCCCTGCGATACCAAAAATTGGTTGATCCCAGCCTTATAAATATGCAATGCTGCAACATCCACATGCCTTCTGTGCAAGAGAATTCCGAAAGTTCACCACCTTCAGCCTGAAGAAATTTCTCTTCATCTCAGTTCAAAATGATCAGCCCATTTCCTCAGACTATGCCCTAACCCAGTGTTTTAGACTCCCAAGTCCAGCAGAAAATCAATCTCTCAATGTCGATCCTGTCAAGTTCCTGCGTAATCTTGTACACTTCGAAAAAAAAAGTGCCTATCATTCTTCAGAGAATATCGGCTTCTCAGCACCCTCCATTCCCCACTACATTCCAGGGACCAGTTTAGTGAAACACACACAGACATAGCTGGAGAAACTAGTCTGGCAGCGTCCTCAGTTCTGAAGAAGGATCACTGGGCTCAAAACATTAAACTTTGTTTTCTCTCCACAGATGCTGCCAGGACCAGCAATGGCTGTTAAAAACCGAAAGAACTGCAGATGCTGTAAATCAGGAACAATAACAAAGTTCTGAGGAAGAGTCACCAGACCTGAAACGTTAACTCTGTTTTTTCCTTCACAGATGCTGCCAGACCTGCTGAGCTTTTCCAGCAACTCTGTTTTTGTTCCAGCAATGGCTGTGTGTGTCTCAGATTTCCAGCATCTGCAGTTCTTTGTTTTATTTTACTGATTTAAGTGAACCTCTGTTGTGCTATCTCTAATGCAAAGTACATTGTTTCTCGGATAGGAGAGAAAATCTACACAGAGTACTCCAGATGTGGTCAGAACAAAACCCCACATAACTAGAGTAACATCTCTTTACTCTTGCAATAAAGACAGTATTTTCCTCCTTATCTGCTTGGTGCACTTCTATATGAACTTTCTGCATTTCTCATACAAGCACGTCCAAGTAACCTTGAACATCAAAGACAGATCTCGCAGAATATTGCAGCATTGGCTTCATTATTTTTCTCTATTCATTCATGGGATGAGGACATCACTGGCAAGGCACCATTTACTGCCCAACTCTAATTGCCCAGAGGGCAGTTAAGAGTCAACAAGGTGCGGGGCTGGATGAACACAGCAGGCCAAGCAGCATCGTAGGAGCAGAAAGACTGACATTTCGGGCCTAGACCCTTCATCAGTTAAGAGTCAACCACATTGCTGTGGGTCTGGAGTCACATGTAGGCCAGACCAGGTGAGGATGGCAGTTTCCTTCCCTAAAGGACATTGGTGAACCAGATGGGTTTTCCCAACCATCGACAATGGATTCATGGTTATCATTAGACTCTTCATTCCAGATATTTATTGAATTCAAATTCCACCATCTGCTGGGGCAGGATTCGAACCCAGGTCCCCAGAACATTAGCTGGGTCTCTGGATTAACGGTCCACAGTAATACCACGAGGCCATTGCCTGCCCCTATTGCCTCACACACAGATTAACCTATGTGCGTTCATCGTCAAAACTGACATGACACTGTCACAGAAGAAGTGTGCTTGACATTGACTGGGAGCTGTCAACAATACATTGTCACAAATGAATTATTATTTCGTGTATTCAGACATGGTAAGTATATGAAGGTCAATCGTTTATTGGCTCAGGGCAGCTTTAATGATCATGTGATGCTGGTCTGGGTAACTTCTTCCCTCCGAGAGTGGGGAGAATATGGAACTTACTGCCACTAGGAGGGACCGAGGGGAATTGTGTTATATATTGAAGAGGAACATGAGGGGAAAGGGTTAGAGGGGTGATAGGATGAAATGAAGAGAGATGGGTAGAAGCTCATATGGAGCAGCAATGGCAGAGTGCAGTTGGGCCGAATTGCCTGTTTCTTCCTCAGTATTAAACCATCAACACATGCTGTGTTGGACATTCATGAATGACCAACCAGACTCTGGACAAGTAGACAGTTTGCATTTTAGATGTCCCAGTAAATTCTACAGTACCTTGGGTTAAAGCAGTATCCTTTCCCAGTATTTATTTCACAGCCCAAAAAGAAGCAGATTTTACTGTACCATTCAGGCAGCTCTAGCTGTGCACTCAGTACCCTCCTTGCCAAGTTAGTATTTAAAGTTTAAAAAAAACTATTTGAACATTATTGAGTCAGATCTCTTCTTCAAGGCTGAAAACAGAGGTGGAGGTTCTTTTGAAAAATACAAGCTTTTTCATTTACTGGAACTGCGACTGAAGTGATCACATCAGTCTAGGTACTCAGTTCTGGGCAGGGCATCCACGTTGGCAGTTTACATCAGCAGCTTCAATGGTAAATATTGAGATAACCAAAACGATGGACTTTGTAGCTTGCAAATAGGTATATAATTGGAATATGAACCTCAATCTAGATGAGAGTCATGCTCGTAGAGAACATGTTGGGAGGAAATAGAAGGCAGCCACATATTGATGGAAGAATATGTATTTAACTGGGGTAAGGGAACAGAAGATGGACTTTTAGAAACACACATCAGTTACACAGATAGGGAGGGATGTAGGGGCTAGAGGTGGTTACAGAGATAGGGAGGGGTACAGGGACTGAAGGGGGTTACAGAGATAGGGAGGGGTGTAGTGGCTAGAAGAGGTTATGGAGGTAGGGAGGGGTGCAGGGGCTCAGAAAAGGTTATGGACATAGGGAGGGCTGCAGGGGCTGGTGGAGGAGGAAACAGAGATAGGGAGGGGTATAGGGGATGGTGGAGGAGTTACAGAGATAGGGAGCAGTGGAGGGTTTGGCCACGGTTACAAAAATAGGGAGGGTGAAGCAGGTTAGAATACTGGCAGTTATCGTTTTGGATGAGCTGAAGTTTATGGAGATCAATATGGAGTAGGTGACCAGCACAGCGCTGGAATAGAAAAAGTTACAGCTCAAATATGGGAGGAGGAAATGTGTAATTGTACTGCTGGCTAGTAGATTTCTTTCTGTAAAAGGAAGGCCCAGCTGAAGTGGACAGTGAGAAATGCTCACACGCCTACCATTCCACTTCACTGGCTTTGTACTGACATCACTAATTACAGATCTGAGATCTTGCTAAGTCCATGCACAGGAACACAGCAGGAATGGGTTCAGGCAGAGGATGATGCAGAGACCTGAC